ACACATGCATACACAGACACAAACACAGACACAGACGCAGAAACAGACATTGACACAGACACAGGCACAGGCACACAATCAGACATCCACATACAAACTTCCGTACATACATACAGCTAGACCTACACACAGACCCAAGCAACTAGAAATTCAAACACAAGACACACACGCACACAAACACACATGCGTATACGTTTACATATACAACTACCTGTGCGCACACGTATGTGCATCCACCACCGTACCCTTAGGCGCGAGTTGGAGTGTCCACCAATAAAGGCTGCAAAGAGGTAGGCGTGCTGGTGGCCTTGCCTCTGCCGACGCCCCAGTGGCGCGAAGCCCCTAAGTAATGAAATAATCAGGCCGGGAGAGGCCGCCGCGGCCGCCGGGCAAAGCGTGGCCTCATCCCTTAAGCCTCGAGCCTCAAGCCTGAGGATTATTTGGAACTGGCCTGGACCCCAAACCGCCAAATCTTCCGGGCCTTCCCACGTGCCTCCCAGGGCTCCCAGACTCTTCCAGCGCCATTTTCGGGCCCAAGAGGGCCCCAGGCCGAGAGCGCCCCAAGAGGCCCCCAGAACGGTCCGAGAGGGCCCCGGGTCGCCGAAAGATCGCTCCAAGACACCGAAGATGGCCTCAAGACGGCCCAAAACCCCCAAGACGCCCCAAGAGGCCTCCAAAAGACCTCCAAAGAGGGACCCAAAAGACAAGAATCATCGATTGCCTCTACGTTTGTGAAAGACACGGGTTGCGCACAGCATAGGTCGCACCACTTGGCGTGCACAACATAACTTATACAATTGCACATCATGTAGTGCACAACAGATACTGCACCACAGAGATTGTTCCACAAAGATTGCACCACCTATATTGCACAAGATGTATGCTCTCGTCAAAAAAATAGGTTCTACCACCCTCCCCCCCCGAACTCAAAGAACCCCCAGGAAGCGATGTAAAACACATAGGGTTCTGACCAAATGTCCATCCGACCTGCGAATTCAAACTATCCCAGCCAAACCAGTATCGGTTCCCCCCGCCATCCTCTGCACAAGAAAACTATGCGCACACACTCGTTTATCAAAAATCATAAGTTTTCAGGAATCCCTTTGCAAAAAACGAAACGAAGTGCACACGCGCGCGTCGTCGCGCGCAGGCCGAAATCCTTCAAAAACCTTTGGCTTCGGAAGGATTTCAGAATCGAGTTTCCAAAAAAACATTCAAAAAGCACAGGGTTTCGCAACACTGATTTTCAAAAAAAGCTTACGCGCGCGCTCTTGCGGAATCAAAAAAAAAACCGAACGGGCTTTGCGCGAGCGCATGTCGAAATCTTTCGAACGCCCTTGCGCGCGTGCCGTCGCGAGAACCCTCTGCAAAAAACAAGAAGAAGTGCACACGCGCGCGTCGTCGCGCGCGCATGCCGAAATCCTTCAAAAACCTTCGGTCTCGGAAGGACTCCAAAAAAAACGAGTTTCGAAAAATCCTGCAAAATACAAGGTTTCGCAACACGGATGTTCAACAAAAGCGTGCGCGCGCGCTCCTTCGTCGTCGTTGTCGTCGTCGCCGTCATCCCTCCTCCCTCGTCGTCGTCGTCGCCGTCGTCGTCCTCTGTCTTTCCTCATCGTCGTCGTCTTGGCGTCGTCGTCGTTTCCGTCGTCGTTGTCGCCGTGGTCGTCCTTCCTCCCTCGTCGTCTTCGTCGGCGTTTCGTCGTTGTCCCTCCTATTTCGTCGCCGTCGTCTTCGTCGTCGTCGTCGTCCTCCCTCCTCCCTCGTCGTTGTCGTCGTCGGCGTCGCCGTCCTCCCTCCTTCTTCGTCGTTCGCGTCGTCGCCGTCCTCCCTCCTCCATCGTCGTTGTCGTCGTTGTCGCCGTCGTCGTCCTCCCTCCTCCCTCGTCGTCGTCGTCGTTGGCGACGTCGTCGACGTCGTCGTCGTCTTCGTCGTCGTCGCCGGCGTCGTCGTCGTCGGCGTCGTCGTCGTCGTCGTCGACGTTGTCATCGTCGTCGTCGTCGTCGTCGGCGTCGGCGTCGTCGTCGGTGTCGTCGTCGTCGTTGTCGTCGTCGAAGTCGTTGGAGACGTCGTCGGTGTCGTCGTAGTCGTTGTCGGCGGCGTCGTCGTCGTCGTTGTCGCTGTCGTCGTCGGCGTCGGTGTCGCTGCCAAGTGCCATTCGGTACGTACCGTCATGGCCTTAAGAGGTCTTGCGACCAAGTTGCGGGTGGGAGGGTGGGATGTTGGCACGAGCAGTGGAAACGACAGCTTCAAGTTGAGCAAGTGATTGATTCTCCTTTCCAAAAACAGAATAGACTCTACCCCCCCCAGCGTTATCCGCCCCCCTTTCGGGTATGTTAATCATACATGATTCTGACCACATGTCCATACGAAATATGAATTTATTCTATCCCCGAGGGGCCGGAATCGCCCCCCCTGAGGTTCCCTTGTAAAAAAACGATACGCGGGGACATCTTTTGTTCTAACAGAACACTTGTTGCACGAATCACTTGCAAAAAATATGACGAAGTGCACACGCGCGCGTCATCGCGCGCGCATGCCGAAATCCTTCAAATACCTTCGGTGTCAGAAGGATTTCGCAATCGAGTTTCCAATATATATAAAAAAAAAAAAAAAAAAAAAAATGGTTTCGCAACACTGATTTGCTAAGAAAGCTTACGCGCGAGCTCTTGCGAAATCTTAAGAAAACCATAGGTTTTTCAAGATTTTTACAAAGTGCTACCAAACGGGCTTCGCGCGCGCATGTCGAAATCTGTCGAACGCCCTTGCGCGTGCGAGAATCCTCTGCAAAAAACGGGACGAAGTGCAGACGCGCGCGCCGTCGCACGCCGAAATCCTTCAAAACCCATCGATTTCGGAAGGATTTCAAAATCGTGTTTCGCCAAAAAATTCAGAACCTACAAGAACACAAGGTTTCGCAACACGGACTTTCAACAAAAGCGTGCGCACGCGCGCTCTTGCGTCGTCGTCGTCGTCGCCGTCCTCCCTACTCCCGCGTCGTCATCGTCGTCGTCGCCTACGTCGTCCTCTGTCTTTCCTCGTGTTCGTCGTCGTCGTCCTCTTTGGCGTCGTGGTCGTTTCCGTCGTCGTTGTCGCCGTGGTCGTCCTTGCTCCTCCTCCCTCGTCGTCGTCGTCGTCCGTCGTCGGCGTCTCGTCGTCGTCCCTCCTATTTCGTCGCCGTCGTCGTCGTCGTCTTCCCTCCTCCATCGTCGTTGTCGTCGTCGGCGTCGTCGTCCTTCCTCCTTCTTCGTCGTTCGCGTCGTCGCCGTCCTCCCTCCTCCCTCGTCGTTGTCGTCGTTGTCGTCGTTGTCGTCGTTGTCGCCGTCGTCGTCCTCCCTCCTCCCTCGTCGTCGTCTTCGTTGGCGACGTCGTCGTCGTCTTCGTCGTCGTCGTCGGCGTCGGCGTCGTCGTCGTCGTCTTCTTCGTCGTCGACGTCGGCGTCGTCGTCGTCGAAGTAGTCGGAGACGTCGTCGGTGTCAGTCGTCGTCGTCGGCGTCGTCGTCGTCGTCGACGTCGCTGTCGTCGTCGGCGCCGGTGTCGTTGCCAAGTGCCATTTGGTACATACCGTCACGGTCTTAAGAGGTTTTGCAAACCAAGTTGCGGGTGGGTGGGTGGGATGTTTGCAAGAGCATGGGATGTGTCAAATCATTGGTAAAAATCCATTACACCACATAGATTGCACCACAAATCCTACTCCACCTAGATTGCACAACATGCGCTGCTAGAAACACTTTCTGGCCAGCGGGCGCGCAAGAAAAGTCAGACGCCAGAAGAGCGACGGGAGGGACACTCCGGAAGCGAATTGAGCACTAGAAGAAAACAGGCGAAAGGGAGCGGGCGGAAAAGAACGAGGCGCGATCAGAAAGTGTAGTCCTTCTCGCGAGTGCACGAGGTGCACTGTGTGGGATCCACGCTGGCTAACGTATACATATACATACACGTTCGCATTATCAGATACGTAAACGTATACTTGTAGAGACGCAAACTTCTGCACAAACATATTGATACAAAACATACATATGTATGTATATGCAAATACATACATCTACATTTATCGCCGCGCCGTTTGTTCCCGACTCGCCCAAATGGACGATGCCGACACCACGGCAAACCCACGGCGAGCCCTGCGTCCCGCGCCCTAGTAAACGAGGAGGCCCGCACCGCGGCAAACCCACGGCAAACCCACCGCGTCCGAGGCGGCGTTTGCCATGGTAGCCGCGGCGCCCTCCCCAAGACGGAAGACCGCGCGTCGGAACAAACGGCGCGGCGACATTTACCCATATATATATATATATATATTCACACACATGCGCATGAACATAGAAGTTGACGTATATCTGTACATAGATATCTATATATATATGAAAATATAGATAAACATGCATACATGCGCACATTGCAAATACAAAAGTATACAAAAACGATTTGTGAGTATACCAGTATCTGTACACTGTGTCCCACCCCACCCCCCACCCCTCCCATCCTGCCTCGTCCCCCGGCGGAGGGGGGAACGGGGGGGAGCCGAAGAGGACACCCGACCGGGGAGAGGGCAGCGCGCTGTCAGAGCAGACACCTCGTGCCGCGCGTCGCAGAAGGCGGACACACACACATACACACACACACACACACCACGCAAACACAAACACACACACACACACACGCACAAACACACACACTCGCACAAACACACACACACACACACACACACACACAAAAAAACACACACACACACACACACACACACCGCAAACACACACACACACACACACACACACGCCCACGCCCACGCGCCCACCGCCTGGCCAACCACCCACGCACCACGCAGACCCCCAGCTCGGTGGAGGAGCAGAGAACGGCATAAACGTAAACTTTCGGAGGTCCACGCGGACTTCTTGGATCGGCGCTGGAGCCCCCTGGCGGCGACGCCCATGGCGCGCCGCGCGCCAGGGCTGAAGGTTCAACGCAGAGCCAACAAGGCCGCGCGCATCTCCGAAAATGTGGTTGATTGATCCCTTCCTTTTGTTCCTCGAACCGCCGGCGCCACCGCCGGGGAGCCCACGATGCCGTGGCAGGGCCGCCCTCAGACGTCCTTGCAGGACTCCACGTCACCAGGGGGGCCGGCGCTGGATCTCAGGGCGGCGATGCGGCTCACCGCCACCAGGGCCACCGCCAGCAGGCAGGCGCACGAGCAGAAGCAGGAAGCCATGGACAGAAGGAGAAAAAAAGCATGGACATAAACTGTCGAAGCTCCGCGCGGAGTCCTTGGATCGGCGCACGGTCCCCCCTCGCGCGCTCCACGCGCCAGGCAAGGGGGCCCAGCGCCGACCCAAGAAATCTGCACGGAGTTCCGAAAGTGTATGGGCATGATTTTTTACCCTTTCGGATGGAGATGTCGGACAGCAGAAGGCAGACCACGACGGCGTTGAGCGGCACGCGGTAGATGTTGTACACCGTGCCCCGGATCTGCTCCGGAACGATCTGACTCTTCAGCATGCCGACGGTCGGGAAGTAGGCGCCGACACAGAACTCGAACAGGAGGAACGCCGCGAACACGGGCATCACAGAGGAAGGAAAAAGTGCACAACCATCAGCTGTCGGAGCTCCACGCGGACCTCTTGGATCGGCGCTGGGCGCCCGTCCCTGGCGCGCGGAGCGCGGCAGGGGGACTCCAGCGTCGATCCAAGAGATCCGCGCGGAGCTCCGACAGTTTATGCCTCTGCCGTTGTTTCCTCCTCTGGGATCAGGAACCCGTCCCTGCTCGCGAGCGGCGAACGTATCCGTATCCGCGCCCCCGCGGTCTGGAACCCGGGGCGCGATCCCGCGGATGAGCGGTCGCACGGCTGCGTGCCGCGCGGGGCATCCGCGGGGCCGCGGGTACGGACCCAAACATGCGAGGTCCTGATGTTTGCCATAATTACGGGGCCCCCCAGAAGTCCCGACCCTCTCCCCATGGGGACCGCTTTCTCGTCCTGCGTCGTTTTTCGATGGTCCCGAGGCCCCGCGAGGGCCCCCCGAGGCCGAAAACGGCCCAAGACCTTCCGAGGCCTGTTTTTGGCACGACGCGATCACGTCTCGGGAGATGTCCGTCGCCCGCGACCTGCCGCCCAGCCAGGCCGGGACCACGAAGGCAACGATCCCGGCTGCAAGCAGGAGGATCAGCCGCGTCGTGGGCTGCAGCGCATCGCTGGAGATGGTGGCCGCGGAGGCCCCGCACATGCACGCCATCATGAAGAGCGCGAAGACGGCCGGCGGCACGCAGGAGACCCGGAGACCCAGGCATGCTCCCCAGACCCCCTTGTGTTGTGAAAAAGTCACGACGGGAGGTTTTTCGCCATTGTCGGCCTCCCGGGGCCCTCACTCGGCCCCGGGGCCGTCCAAAAACAGCTCAGGATGAAAAGCCGGCCCCGGGGAAGGGGTCCAGACCTCTGGGGGTCGACGCTGCGGAAAAAAAAAAACACGACGTCGAGGGTCTGGGTCGCGTGGTGGGATACAGCCGACAATGTGATCAAGAAAATATCAGCCAGCGTTGACTCCAAAGAGATAGATGGACAGGAGAAGAACGAGAGAAGGAGACAGAGCTGGTGGGCGCCATTGGAAATAAGGGGGGGTGCCATTGGCAAGGGGGGGGAGGGGGGGAGGGGGGTCCATTGGAAATAAGGGGGGGGGCCATTGGAAAAGGGGGGGGTCCTAAAGACCCATTACTTATGATGGGCTAGGACTCCTATAGGGCAAGCCTAATTTGGAGAACGATCCTTCAAGAAATCTGGGCCGGCTTCCCAGAAGTCTCTTGAAGCAGGCCGGGGCCAACTTCTGTCGTTGACGCTGGAGGGGCGAAGGCGCTCCAGAAACTGGGCCAGCTTTCGGGCAAGCTGGCTACGACACGCTGGCCCAGCTTCTCGGCAGGGGGGCTCTTCATCAGATGCTCGACCGTAAAGAGAGAGGACACTGAGACCCTGGCGCCGTTTTTCTTCGCAGCGGTCGATTGTGCCTCGTTTGGGGCCCCAGGGCCATCACGGGCCGATCCGGCTCGACAAATGCTGCAGACAGATGGTGTCCAGGGCTCTGGTCGAGTTGTGTGTTAACCATGTCGCATTTTGCTCGTGCCGTCGTGTGCGTCCCGCTGCTCTTCCAGCAGGGACGGGAGGAGAGGGACCCAGGCATGCTCGCGTGGTGAGAAAATCACGCTTTAGAGGCCTCCTTGATGGCGTCCGAGTAGATGGGGTAGGAGGACCGAGCCGCATCGCCAATGCATCGCCGACGTATCGGCGATGCATTGGCGATGCACTGGCGACGTCGGCGTTGCGTCGGCGACGCCAGCGTGGAGAAAATCGGGCCCCATATCGAGCCGCATCGCCACTGCATCGCCGATGCGTCGGCGATGCAGCGCGATCCTCCGACCCCCTCTGCTCCGACTCCACCTGGGAGTCCTAGACGCTCGGGGGGCCTTTCTTGGTCGCGGGGGGCCTCCAGGGGGCTCCTCGCCGCCGCGGCTGGGTCCGCCCTGACATCCTGGCTGACATGAACGCGCCGTGAGAAACTGATGACGGCAGGTTGCTTCTTGCGGTGCTCGGCCTCTGGGGGCCCCGACCCGGCCCCGGAACCGTCAGAAAACGGCTCGGCATGGAAAACCGGTGCCGGGGAAAGGGTCGGGACTTCCAGGGCTAGGTCGGGCGTGTCCCCCTGCAGGCGGATCTTGGACGAAAGATAACAAATACCAGAAAAATGCACCAAAAGTGCCGAAAAATTGTCAAAAATCGTCCCCTGACTATCTTGTGACTAGTCTGAATCTTCCCCCTGTAGAGGGACAGGCCCGACTGAATTCCAGGGACCCCGTCTCGGGAAGATCAAGACATCGCACGTCTGGGGCGGCCCTGGGCGAGGGCACCTTGGGCTCGCAGCTCTGGGGGCCGCGGGGAAGCGGCAAGTTCGAGCGCGCAATGTCTCGGGCCTCTGGCGGCCTTTCGGGGCGATCTGGGCACCTCCGGACCGCTCTGGGCGAGGCGCGGCTGCCCGAAAGCATCCCGCGGCGAGAGGATCTCCGAGGGCCGGTGAGAACTTCCGTTGAAAACCCTCGGACATGTTGGTAGAGGCCTGGGGAGGAGGGCCGTGCTGGGAGTACCCCCTGCGGGCCCGCACCAAGAAGGTCACTCGGGCGAAGGGCCAAATCTTGCGCGCAGCCGAGATGAGCCCATGGGGTGGCGGCGTGGCCTCAGGAGAAGAGACAGCGGCAGAAGTATAAACTTTCGGAGATCGGACCTCTGAGGGTCGGGCGGATGTTTTGGATCAGCGGCGCTCACCGTTGCGGCGCCTCCGGGGGGGCGATGCCCATCTACGAAAACCGCACAGTACTCCGAAAATGTATGTTTCTGGTGTGGTTTCTTCTTCGATGCCTCGTTTCGCAGCGCAGGCGTCCAGTTGAACACGAAGGCGTACATGGAGCCCTCGAAACATGCGACCTCTCCTCCTCCTCCTCCTCCTCCTCCTCCTCCTCCTCCTCCTCCTCCTCCCCTCCTCCTCCTCCCCTCCTCCTCCTCCTCCTCCTCCTCCTCCTCCCTCCTCCTCCTACTCTCCTCCTCCTCCTCCTCCCCCTCCTCCTCCCCCTCCTCCCCTCCTCCTCCTCCTCCCTCCTCCTCCTCCCCTCCTCCTCCCTCCGCCCTCCTCCTCTCCTCCTCCTCCTCCCCCTCCTCCCCCTCCTGCCCTCCTCCCTCCTCCTCCTCCTCCTCCTCCTCCTCTCCTCCTCCTCCTCCTCCCCTCCTCCTCCTCCTCCTCCTCCTCCTCCCTCCTCCTCCTCCTCCTCCTCCTCCTCCTCCTCCTCAGGGACCACGCTCGGGTGGCAGAGGCCCGGGAGGGAACGCCTCGACACCCATCGCCCGTGGACGGCCTGAAAGGGGCCGATGGCCCGCTGCGCCCAGGACAACCTTACCGGGGGCCTGTCGCCGATCTATCGGCGATGCATCGTCGATTATGAGCGTGTTCTTTCGAAGCAGGCGACCTCTCCTCCTCCTCCTCCTCCTCCTCCTCCTCCTCCTCCTCCTCCTCCTCTCCTCCTCCTCTCCTCCCCTCCTCCTCCTCCTCCTCCTCCCCCTTCTCCTCCTCCCTCTCCTCCTCCCCCTCCTGCTCCTCCCCCTCCCGGCGTTTCGACACTGTCGGCGTTTCGGCATTGGGCGGAAGGGGGGGAGGGGGGGGGTCTGGTTCTGGACCTCTGCCTGGCGCGACTGTTTGCAGCAGTGCGTCCTGTGGGGGAGAGGGGCTCCACTTGCTCGAAGCAGGCGCCAACAACAGCCAAGCGCTACTCAACCGGGGGGGGAGGGGGGGGTGCGAGGGCCCGCGCCCATCGTAGACACAACGAATGAGAAAACGATCACCCATCGAGGGCGATCTGCCGCCGCTCGATTCTTCCCCCCCTGAACCAGCCCTCCCCCCTGACGCTCTCCTGGAGGTCTTGGACTTCGGAGCCTCCCCCTGGGAGCAGCTCTTCGTCCTGAGCCGTTCTGTCGGTGGTCCTGGGGCCTAGGGGGGGGCCGCAAAAGAGCCCCCAAAGCGGCGAAAGACCTCAGGACCCGCTCCGCTTCAGGACCCCCTCCCTCTGCCTCCATGGCGAGACATTTGGAGCAGCGCAGGAAATACCAGGCTCGATGCTTCCCCCCCCCCTTGCACCGGTCCCCTGGTGGTTTTCGGGTCACAGCTCGGGCCCACGGCGGCCGTTCGGGGCGATACGGCCAGCCCCGCGCGCCCCTCGACGAGGCGCAGCCGCCAGAGAGCACCCCGCGGCTGGAGAGCCGTCGAGAGCCTGCGAAAACGGCCGAACACCTCGAACCTCGAAACGTCGAGCCGATCCCCTCGAGGCGGTCCCCACCACTAACGGTGAGCATTTTGCTTATTCGTTATGAATTCGGGCATGATCTTGATCCTGCTACTAGGCTCCTCTTCGTGTTGGTCTTGCACTTGTAGTAGTGGTCTCAAGTTACGCCTAGTAGGGGATGTACTTGTTGCCAAGGCTGTAATGAATATCCGGTATGTTTTGCACCTCGAACTCCGACACGTCGAGCCGATCCCCTTGAGGCGGTCCCCCCTTGAACGGTGGCTCCCCCTGACCTTGGACATCCGATGTCCTGATGCTCCAAGACGTGGCACCCAGAAGTCCCGACCTGGTCCTCGGGGCCGGCTTCTCCTGTCGACTCGTTCGTAAACGGTTTCAGGGTCCAGCGAGGGCCCCCGGAGGCCGCAAACCGTCCCAAACCCCCCCGCCATGAGTCCGTCACGACGGAAGCGTGTCTGGGAATGTTGCCCCCCTGAGCTGTCCTGTCCCTCCTCCCCCTCCTCCTCCTCCACCTCCTCCACCTCCCCCTCCTCCTCCACCTCCTCCTCCTCCTCCTCCTCCTCCTCCTACTCCCCCTCCCCCGCCTCATCCTCCACATCCTTGTCCTCCTCCTCCCGCCTCCTCCCATCCTCTTCCTCCGCCTCCTGCTCTTTTCCTGCCTCCTCCTCCTCCTCCTCCTCCTCCTCCTCCCCCTCTTCCTCCTCCTGCGTCCCCCTCCCCCTCCACCCTCCTCCGCATCCTCCTCTCTTCTCGCCCTCCTGCCTGAGCTCCTCCCCCCTACGGTTGCCCCCTCGCGACCACGGCGCATAGCAGCCCGGCGCCGGCGTCGGCCGCGAGCAGGCGGCGCGCCGCCCCGAAGTTCTCCAGCAGCCCCGCCCGCGGAGCAGCGCCCACGTCCTCGACGCCGTAGTTTTCCTCGAACGGGTGCCGAAGAAAGCGGGGCGCCGAGGGAGACAGTTCCTCCTCCTCCTCTTCCTCCTCCTCCTCCTTCTTCTCCTCCTCCTCCTCCTCCTCCTCTTCCTTAGTCTTCGTCTTTGTATTAGCATTCTCAGTATTGCCATTATTGTAAAAATGTTGTTGTGCAAATTAGTACCACTATTACGAACCGTATGATTATTGATATTATGTTTAATAATAGTTGTTGTAACCAACGTGTTACTAGTAAGAACCTAAGTATTGTAATCAGTATTAATATTGCTACGATGATGAATGTTAACAATCGTATTACTAGTGTTGTTAGTAGTATTATCATTATTTGAAATGCGATCATTAGCGCAGCGCTTGTATTATTACTATTAGTAGTAGTTCGAGGTTGGGGGGTGAGATCGCCAGTGGAACGGAGACCCCCAACTGGGAAATCGTTTCGTTTCGTTCGTGTCGTGCGTGCGGGCGAGGCGAAGCTGCGTGGGCGCGCGAGGGGAATGAACCCGCCGATGCTAGGGCGAAGCCAGGACAAATGATTCTCCCCCGTCCGTCCATCCGGCGGTGGCCCTAGCGGTGTCCCGCAGTGTCCCGTGGTGTACCGAGGTGTCCCGTGGTGCCCGCCGCTGCTAGGAAGAAATCAAAAAAAATGATTATCCCCCGTCCGTCCGTCCGTCCGGCAGTGGCACTAGCGGTGTCCCGCGGTGTCCCGTGGTGTCCCATGGTGTCCGCCGCTGCCAGGAGGAAGTCAAGGCAAATGATTTTCCCCCGTCCGTCCGTCCGTCAGGCGGTGGCCCGCGGTGGCCCGCGGTGTCCCGTGGTGTGCCGTGGTGTCCCGTGGTGTCCGCCGTTGCTGGGGCGAAGTCGAAACAAATGGCAATCCCCCTCCCGCCTGTCCGGCGGTGGCTCGCGGTGTCCCGCGGTGTCCCGTGGAATCCCGTGGTGTCCCGTGGTGTCCGCCGCTGCTAGGTCGAAAACAAGACAAGTGATTATCCCCCGTCCGTCCGTCCGTCCGTCTGGCGGCGGCTCACGGTGTCCCGCGGTGTCCCGTGGTGTCCAGTGGTGTCCCGTGGTGTCCCGTGGTGTCCCGTCGTGTCCCGTTGAATAGGATCGATAGTGAGATCGATAGTGAGACCGATACTGAAATCGACGTGGTGCCCCTTGGTGTCCCGTGGAGCCCCGTGGAGTCCCAAAAAGTGAGATCGATAGTGAGATCGACAGGTGTCCCGTGGTGTCCCGTGGTGGCCCGTGGTGTCCCGTTGAGTGAAGTCGATAATGAAATCGATAGTGAGATCGATAATGAGATCGATGTGGCGCCCCGAGGTGTCCCGTAGTGTCCCGTGGTGTCCCATGGTGTCCTATGGTGCCCCGTTGAGTGAGATCGATAGTGAGATCGACACTGAGATCAATAGTGGGATCGAGAGGGGTCCCGCGGTGCCCCATGGTGTCCTGTGGTGGCCCGTGGTCTCCGTGGTGCCCCGTTGAGTGAGATCGATAGTGAGATCGATAGTGAGATCGACAAGTGTCCTCTGGTGTCCCGCGGTGTCCCGCGGTGTTTCGTGATGTCCCGTGGTGTCCCTGTGAGCGAGCTCGATAGTGAGATCGATAGTGAGATCGATAATGAGATCGATGTGGTGTCCCGAGGTGTCCCGTGGTGTCCCGTGGTGTCCTATGGTGTCCCGTTGAGTGAGATCGATAGAGAGATCGATAGTGAGACCGATAGTGAGAACGAGAGGTATCCCGCGGTGTCCCGTGATGTCCCGTGGTGGCCCGTGGTGTTCCGTGGTGTCCCGTTGAATGAGATCAATAGTGAGACCGATAGTGAGATCGACAAGTGTCCCGTGGTGTGCGGTGGTGTCCCGAGGTGTCCCGTGGTGTCCCGTGGTGTCCCGCTGAGTGAGACCGATAGTGAGATCGATTGAGTCAGATGTGGGTTCCCCCCTCTCCCCCCACACAACCAACCTCCTTATCACCCGAAGGTTGGTCGTAGAGGTAAGATTGTTATTATTATTATTGATGTTGTTGTTCTTGTTGTTGATAGTATTGTTCAGTGTCTTCGAATTAATGTTATTATTATTCATATTCCTCCTCCTCCTCCTCCACCTCTTCCTCCTCCGCCTCCTCCTTCGCCTCCTCGACACTCTCTCTTTATAAATAACTTCCCCCTGTCGCACCCCCAGCCCAGTTTTAGGGCGGGCCGGGCTTTTCGCCTGAGAACTCCTCACCATGTATGACTCTGAAGCTTACAATTGGCAACAGTTTCACATATGGATGGCGGTCGGTATTCAAAATGTGGCTCTCGCCTTAGCGCCGCGCACATTCGTCTCCACGTATTTGCAAGGGTTTCACGGGTTCCCTGGACAACGTACCAGAAATGGCGTTGTGGAGCGATTCAGGCTTATGATGGTGCACAAGTTATGTTGATTCGCGGTGTTCAAATCCCAGGAATAGGATTCTGGCACGATCCAGGAACGTCAAGACGCAACAGTCAGGTTGATCCGTGGCGTTGGAACCCCGAGAACAATGTTTTGGCATGCTTCGAGGTTTTCGAGCAGATGCTTTCCAACGAGGCAGTTCCCTCAGTACAAATGAACCCTTATAGGGGCCTACGAAGAGGGAGCTTGAACGAGGGGTATATTCCAACATCATTGCTGCCTCTTGGGTTTACACAGGTCCTCCTCCTTCTCCTACTCCTCCGCCCTCCTCCTCCCTCCTCCTCCTCCTGCTCCTCCTCCTCCTCCTCCTCCTCCTCATCATCATCATCATCATCATCATCATCATCATCATCATCATCATCATCATCATCATCATCATCATCATCATCCTTCGAATCATCATCCGCATCCTCCCTCTCCTCCTCCTCTCCTCCTCCTCCTCCTCCTCCTCCTCCTCCTCCTCCTCATCGTCCACCATCATCATCAGCACCGCATCATCCTCCCCCTCCTCCTTCCTCCTCCTCCTCCGCCTCCTCCTCCTCCTTGCTCCTCCTCCTCCTTCTCCTCCTCCTCCCCCTCTTCCTCCTCCTCCTCTCCTCTCCTCGTCCCTCCTCCCCCTCCTCCTCTCGTCATCACACCATCATCATCATCAGCACATCATCATCATCGTCATCATAATCATCCTCATTCAGGATTCAGCATCAGCATCAGCATCAGCAATCAGCACATCATCCATCATCATCATCATCATCATCATCATCATCATCTCATCATCATCATCATCATCATCATCATCATCTCCCGAAGGATCCTGCTGCATCCCCATCCCTATCCCCATCCTTCTCCTCCTCCTCCTCCTCCTCCTCTTCCTCCTCATCCTCCTTCTCCTTCTCCATTCCTTTCCCCTAGAAATAACTTGTCCCTGTCGCACCCCGAGGCTGGTCGCGTTTCGCCTGGACTTCCTCAGCATTTATGGCCCGGAAGCTGAAAATTGCCAACAGCTTCACAGATTTAGGGCGGGCGGTGTTCAAAATGAGGCTCTCGCCTTGGCGCCGCGCACACTCGTCTTCAAAATTACAAGAGCTTCACTGATTGGGACGGGTCGCATTCAAAATGTGGCTCTCGCTTTAGCTCCGCACACACATTTGAAGAATGTGCAAGAGCTTCACGGCTGGAGGGCGGGTGATTTTCAGAAACGGCTCGCCTTCACGCCGCGCACATTCCTCCTGAAAAGTTGCAAGAACTGCGCGGGTTTAGGGCGGGTCGCTTTCAAAATGTGGCTATCGCCTTAGCGCTGCGCAAAGATGTTGCCAAAAATTGCATAAAAGCTTCACGGGTTGAGGGCGGTTGGTCTTCAAAATGTGGCTCTCGCCTAAGCGCCGCGTACATTCGTGTATAAAAAAATGCAAGAGCTTCACGATTGAGGACGGGTCGTTTTCAAAATGTAGCTCTCGCCTTAACGCCGCGCACATTCGTCTTCGAAATTCGCCAGAGCGTCACGGATTGAAGGCGGCTCGTCTTCAAAACGTGGCTCTCGCCTCAGCGCCACGAACGTTCGTCTTAACAAATGCCAAGTCTTCACGAATTGAGGGCGTGTGGTTTTCAAATATGGCTCTCGCCCTAGCGCCGCGCACACTCGCTTTAAAACATTTGCAAGAGCTTCACGGCTGGACGGCGGTTCGTTTTCAGAATGTGGTTCTCGCTGTAGCGCCGCGCACATTCGGTTTGTACATGTGTATGTATGTATATGTATATATAATATAAAACAGATGCCATGTTATTGATTATATAAAAAATGATGCCCATGGCTACCGTACCACAACAAACGGTGTTTTGAAACGACTCTGGGTTGCCAGGACGCAGCAGTTATGCTGATTCGCGGTGCTGAAG